CGACGGAAATGCGGCGCTTGTGGCGGAGTTCGTGCAGGCGGCACTGCATGCCCAACCATGCAAGCCAGTACTGACAGTCAGCGGCACCGCCGGCCATGGTGCCCAGGAGCACTGAGTTGATCTCAATGACCTTCTTCACTGTTTGCGAGGCAATCCAGTTTCCGGCAGTCGCACGGGAATCGGTGGCGACGATAATGCCGCCTTGGAATCGGAAGGCGAGGGTCGTTGTGCCGTGGGCAATCTTGATGGGGCAGTCGGGGTTGGCTCGGTCGTCTGTTGCTGCGCGGAGCCAGGAGGAGGGCTGCATTGAGGGGTTCCCCATGTCAGTCTGATGGTGCATCTCAGGTTCAAACGGAAACCCAGTCAAGAGGTTGAACTCACATGTGCGACCGGGGGCATAGCAAACTTCAATGACAGCGGCGGCGCTCCACCCAGGAGCTCAAGGTCCTCCTGCTCATCGTCTCTGAAGGTGTTGTGTTGCTCGAACGCCGGGCGGCTGTACTTGGCCACAAGGCTGTCCATCTCGGCGGTCAGCGGGCGGGGGAAATTGTCGAATTAACCGGTCGATAAGGGGTGGTGAGAGTAAAGAATTATTTCTGAGCGGGCTTTCGTTGATGTTCGTGGAAGTGTTGGGCTTGGTGATGATTGGAATGGGGAATGGGGTTCTTTGACGTTGAATTGGGGAGTAGCTCAGGCAGCTCCATGCTCGCGTCACAGCTTCAGCAAGGGAAAGTGCGTACCAAGCTGATTGATGCCTTGTTGCCTGATTCGGAATGGGCAACTGCTGCTGCAGGTACGGAGACACCACCAAGGTCCGTGTGCACCTCAGGCTTACATAAGGACCTACCTACCTCCAAGTGCGATAGCTTCCAGCGCACCCCATGGACCGTAACGTACCTTAGGTAGTAAAAGTATTTTCGATGCTTCCTGTCTTCGAAATCCGTAGGCACTCTACACAACCATGATGAATTTCTCGAAATTTCCCCCCTCTTAAGGATCCCTTAAGGGTCAAAATTCGGGGATGGCTAAATCGAGTAGCTCCCCATTTACCTGACCTGAACACCTGTCTATCTTCCCATCCGATGTACCTATCCACCTGCTGGCCAGAACACGCAGGGGTCTAAAGTGATCACGTGGATCTGTTGATAAGATAACGCGACTCAAACAGGGTCGAAAATCCACCTCAGCTAAACCAAGGAAAGCGATTCCGCCATCATCCAACACTACCACTTGCGACGGCGAGCGCCATTTCACCCATGATCAGTCTCTCACATCAACTTTTACCAATCGCCGACTTGAAGGTATCACAATAATTTCGCGGCGATGGCTAGTATCGATCGCTATCGACCTTCCAGAGAGGCCTACCAGCCTCCCACGCTCCCCCCGGGTCCGCCTCGACCAGACCGGCAATCCAGATCTCCCGGGCGTCGTCTTGATGTGCCACCTGCAGTTCCATCTCCCCCGACACACTCATCGCGGACCTCGCCGCCGCGCCCTCATTCTCAGCGAGACACGCGCTCACCCCAGCGGTCAAGGGCGCAAACACCAGGACCTCCGCCCAATCAGTGGTACTTCACCCCCGACGAGACCCTGAGCACACCGAGTATTCTAGATGGCATTTCACCGGCAGAGGAGCGCCTACGACGCGCGAAGGGTGTCAACTTCATATATCAGGCCGGAGTTCTTCTCGACTTGCCCCAAATCACCCTTTGGGTTGCAGGCGTCTTCTTCCACCGGTTCTATATGCGATACAGTATGGTTGAAGAGAAGAACGGCATCCACCACTACGTGAGACATATCTCTGCTCAATCCCCAGTATAAATGCGTTCGTGTTGGTGTCTTATAAGTGTCAGGCATATTCCGCACTTCCCAGATCCAAACGAGGGACCCAAAAGGCTCAAGCTGAACCAATGCTGACGGAATCGGTTGAACAGAACATTGCAGCCACTGCGCTCTTTCTTGCGAACAAGACAGAAGAAAACTGTCGGAAGACAAAGGAAATCATCATCACAGTGGCGAAGGTCGCCCAAAAGAACCCCAAGCTAATGATAGATGAGATGAGCAAGGAGTACTGGCGGTGGAGAGACAGCATTCTCATGTACGAGGAGTTGATGCTGGAATATCTCACATTCGACCTCATGGTGGAGAACCCTTACCAGCGTCTATTCGAGCTTCTCGGTCAACTCGAAATAGTTCACAACAAACATCTGAGGCAGTCAGCTTGGGCGTTCTGCAGCGACGCCTGCCTTACCTCCATCCCTCTACTGCTCGAAGCACGCGACGTTGCCATCAGTGCCATCTTCTTTGCCAGTATACACACACAGCAGAAGATCGAAGATGTCAACGGCGAACCGTGGTGGAGGGCACTGAAAGGAAACGAAGACAAGTGTGCCAAGGCCATCGACATTGTCCGACAGTTCTACACTGAGAACCCGCTCCGTAAACAGAACCCGTCACTGCCATCACCAGCTTTTGACCTGGCCAATACTAGACAGCCAAGGGATCCGATGAGCCAGGACGCTCTCTCCTCTACAGCAGGCACGCCTTTTGAGCTGGATAGAGGAACGCAGAGCCCAAGAGCTAGGGCTAATGGTCGCGATGACGTCACTAATACTGAGTCCGGCTCGCAGGCCACGCTTAAGGAGCCAGAGAGAGCGAATGGCAATAACCCGGCGTCCCCAGGAAAGAGGAAGGAGCTTGACTCGGATTCCGAGGGCAGAGAACAGAAGCGGGCACGACTGTCCGATGAAGATGAAGGGGAGGTCTTGGACTAGGAGCTCTAGCCTGTAACATTGTAATAATTCCACGGACCATGGGCGTTGGAGGTCCATCGCATTTTACGGCGGGTATTCGGACAAAGGGTCGACAGGCTCAAGATGACGCTTATGTACCATAGTGGTCACTCACTGAAGGCGGCTTCAAGCGCAAGCATCTTGGTATGCACGAGAGTCACAGCACGCTTTCACAGAGACACGGCGTTCCAAAGGTGGTATTTTGGCAGAGGTCATGGCGCAAGCGATGCTTTGCAAAGGTAGGAAATACCTTAGCAGTGATTACAATTCATAGCGAATTCATCATAAAGTCAAAAAACATTGCTGCAGATTGAGAGGGTAGTAGTTTATGGTATATGAATTGTTGAGCTACGTCTCGGCTCTCGATGAAGTCCTTCCGTCCTGCCTGTCTTGCGATTCATCGCATCATCCAAGAAATCTATCACGTCTACCATATTTTCGAGAGCAAGTAATGCTGCCCTCTCCTGTCGATTCAGCAAAGCACGCTTATCCGGCCCCATACCTGGTCCGCACATCTCGTGAAGGTGATGCTGAACGAGCTTCACTGGCATCGGGGCACGAATGACGTGGCGCATGAAGCATTCGACAGCCTCCCACGGACAAGACTCGAACCCAGCGTAAAGAGCAGGGTTTGCGAGGATACCCCGCGCAGACATGAGACCTGCCAACTTGGTGCCACTGGGGGTGAAGTCCGTATAGCCATTATGGCCGTTGATCAGTGTCGGTTCCAAAGGTTCTTCTGGTGCTTTGGATACCGTCGACAGGGGTAGCGTGGCCATGGAGAAGACATCGCCGGATAGAAGGATTGGGAGCGTGTCACCGTATTTCTCGAGGAGAATGCCAAGAGATTCGGTGTTAATAGGGGTGGTGGATGCTGTATGACGGGTACGGGGATGGATCGTCAGGAAGTCGATATTACGGTTCAGGGGGTTGCCAATGACAGTGTCGATGAAGTCCATCGTCTTCCTAGTCAGTGAAGCATGTGAGTAAGCGGAGGACGGTTCCCGAGAGGAGGTAAGGTGCACTCACCTCAAGTCCTTGTGCACACGGATCTTGACGCTGACGCTCCTCCCCTTTGGACTGTCGATATCCCGCTCCTTGCCAACATGCCAGCCGTCACTAGCCAAGCGTTGACGAGTCTCAATGACCATATCTCGCACGAGTTCACGCTGCTCCATAAGAGCGGCACCAAGAGTCTCTGCGCAAGCCCATGACTGTGGGCACCCGCAGTTGAGATCGACACCGTTGACAAAAGGGGCGGCAAGAGATGATGAGCGGGCGAGCTCGAGAGGGCTGTTCGCGCCAAATTGAACTATCGTGGGAGGCTGAACTCCACGGGTGGATATTGTGAGATCTTTGGAGAAGAGTCAGACCGTGGTAAGGTACCGGAGTGAGGCGCAGGGGAGTCAACGAACCACTGTCCCGGGCAAAGTTATTGCGGTTGAACTCTTTCGACAGGATCATGGGTGTCCAGCAGAGATCGGTAGCATATTCATGAACGGTTTGACGGAAAGCGAGCTATGCGGTGATGAGTCAATGGCCTCCTTGACTGAAATACCAGAATTGAATCACCTTGCTATACCTCACCATAGGGGCTGAGACGTTCAGAAATCTATCTTGACTCTTGGCAGCATCGAATATTTTCAGGGGACTGCGTAAAGTCACATGTTGTCAGTCCCCTTGACTCATGGTGAACAAGAAGTGGAACTCAAAACCTACTGTGTTCTATCTGAAAGAGTTCCATTATAGAGGTCGGCCGCCATGGTGACAATCTGGACACCCACAAGAGTGAGTGGTATAATGCCCGAGTTGAGATGAGAGTGTGATTGAGTCGGATTAGGACGCACTCACAACGTCGAAGGCGCCTGTAGCGAAGAATTACAGAGGTTCTTAGTGGAGCAGGGGGGCCCTGTGGCATCAAACCTAGATGGGCGATCCTCACCTGTGCTGTCATAGTGGGGGTGTGGCTCTCTTGCGACGATAACGGCGGGGTGATTTTTCACCGCCTGCCCAATGGGGCAGAAACCTGTAAACTTCCTGCGTCAAAACTTTGCTCTACCCCAGCCAAGTGCTTGCATTTATGAGTCGTTTCTTCCCTCGGGAAACACTCTCTCCACCCTTCTTTTGATCTGGGCTATTGTTTCGCTCTAAATTGCTTCTCCTCACCTTCGCACTCGCGCTATCATAGTCGCAAAGTCGATCCTCACAATGGTCAAGAAGCCCGTCATCGGCCTCCTTGGAGGTGGCCAGTTGGGCCGAATGTTGTGCGAGGCCGCGGGGCCCCTCGGCATCGATATCGCGATCCTGGACGAGGCCAATTGTCCTGCGAAGCAAGCTAACCAAAACAGCCGGCACGTCACCGGTTCCTTCAAGGACCCGGCCAAGATCAGAGAATTGGCTGCCATGTGTGACGTCCTCACTGTCGAGATCGAGCACGTTAACACTGAGGTTCTCGAGGAGATTGCGACCCGCGGTGTTATCACTGCTCCAGGCACCGTCAAGAAAGTACCCTGTCACCCCCATTGGCAGACTCTGCGTCTGATCCAGGACAAGTACTTGCAAAAAGAGCACTTCGCCAAGGGTGGTCTCCCCATTGCCCCTCAGATGGCCATTGAATCCGGCCCTGCTATGCCTGAGAGCCTCACTGCCGCTTACAGGGCATTCCAATTCCCATTCATGCTGAAGGCGAGAAAGGGTTCCTATGACGGCCGTGGTAACTTCAAGGTTAGGGGCCCGGAGGACTATGAGGAGGCTATTCGGACGATGGGCAAGCTCTCACTCTACGCTGAGAAGTGGGTACCTTTCGAGATGGAGCTCGCCGTCATGGTTGTGCGAACTGAGGATGAGGACGGCGAGTTGAGAAAGGTTCACACTTACCCGGCTGTCGAAACTATCCACGAGGAGAGTATCTGCACCAAGGTGTACTACCCACCCCGCCAAGTCAGTGCGGATGTATGTGAGAAGGCACGCCAGGTGGCTGGGGATGTTATCAAGACGGTGAAGGGCAGAGGTGTCTTCGCTGTTGAGATGTTCTTGCTCAAGGACGGTCAGTTAGCAGAGACTACAAGACTTGAGGATTAACTAACTTGATGGTAGGCACAATCACCGTCAACGAGGTTGCTCCTCGTCCCCACAACTCGGGCCACTGGACTATTGAGGGTGTGCCCTACATGTCGCAGTACAAGGCGCAGCTCCACTCCATCTTGGACATGCTCCCGCGATCTATCAAGTTGCAGCCTCGCGTCTCCGGCGCTCTGATGCTCAACATTCTTGGCGGTGCGCGTGAAGACTCCCACGAAGAGTTGGTCGACCTGACCACATCCTTATACGATGACAACATGGATGTTTTCCTCCACCTCTATGGCAAATCGTCCAAGCCTGGCCGCAAGATTGGACACATCACTGTGACGACTCACTCTGCCAACTCCAGCTTGGAGAGGCTAGCAGCGCCTCTGATTAACGAGGTGAACTACATGCGCGAAGCGCGACTTGATGCTGCCTCAGACCAACTCCGTCTGCAAGAGTCTCCTGCCAAGAAGACCAGCTCCCGCAACGCCGATAAGCCCTTGGTTGTTGTCACCATGGGTTCTGACTCAGACCTCAAAGTCTTGAAGGGTGCCTTCGAGATTCTTGAGCATTTCGAGGTTCCCTATGACCTTGACATCACTTCTGCTCACCGTACGCCCCATCGTATGGTTGAACTTGGAAAGACCGCCGCGCAGCGTGGCATCAAGGTCTTGATCGCAGCTGGTAAGTCTACATACGTCGATCGGCCCTTTGGAGACATTACTAACCTCACCAAAGCCGGCGGTGCTGCCCATCTCCCAGGCATGCTGGCATCCGAGACAACTGTGCCAGTGATTGGCGTGCCCGTCAAGGCCACTCATCTTGACGGCCACGACAGCTTGCTGAGCATCGTGCAAATGCCCCGCGGTTGCCCCGTGGCAACGGTCGGTATCAACAACTCCACCAACGCTGCCCTCCTCGCTGTCAAGATTCTCGGGTCGTCCAGCCTCGAGTACCAGCAAAAGATGGCTCAGTACATGAGCAACATGTCCCGGGAAGTTGAGCACAAGGCTTCCGAGCTGCAGAGTAAAGGATGGAAGGCGTACCTCGAGAACCAATAAGGGAAAATGAAGAGATTTTGTTAGCATGTGTGGAACTTCTTTCCACGTTTGGGCAGCATTGATTGATACCAGCAAAGGCGTACAAAGGGAAGTTAGAAAATAACAAATAAGGGGCGGTCGCTATAAGGTCTTTAATGCTTGATTTCCGGAATGACGCTTCACTGCCGTACTGCCACCTTGGCTGGTGTGAGAAAAGGTTGTTTCGTCAAACGATTTCCAGGGAGATGCATGAGGACTTGCGGTTGAGACATGGCCCAACGTTGGGAAGGCGGCGTGGGTTTCCGCTTGAAACAGGACCCGGGGTAACTGTGAGCCTACACCTTGAACCCTGAGAGAATCGCCTGCCGATTGTTCCGGAGTGCAAATGACTTCTTACTTTGTAGACACCAGTATTTTGTCTTCCAGGTCTGATGTTGATGATTGACATGACTGGCGGGGCATCTATCACTTTCTTGCGGGAGCTAGATGTCGGAAGGAATGGCCAGAAACACTAGGATACACTTCTTTCCACTTGGGGGTACGGTTTCAGTCTCAAAATCGATGATCTTATCGATGATCGCCGGGTCGCCCAAAAACAGACTGTTGGGATCAAACCCACCTCATGCTACGGATATTCACCTCGATTCCTCTACTTGACTTTGAGCCACTGACATTTATTTTCCAATAATAGAACTTGCTGAAGACGGCCTCGTTCATGTGACTCGCAGTCGGTTGTCATGCCCCAGCACGCCTGGTACATGCAATACGAGAAGGAGCTGTCTCAATCAAACGTGGTGGTCACTGACTGTCTGACTGCTATCAATGAAGGAACCTCTAAGCACATCAGAGCACTGAGTATGTGGCAAGGACAAAAGGGCAAAATCGAGGTAAGTATGATATACGACAGGAGCCTGCCATGGCTTATGTCTCAGTGCGACGGGTGTGATGTCTCCCCGCGTTCCGACCAACGTATGTCCTTGACTTGGACAACGTGAGGGGAAGACAAGTGGCCAAGCTGGACAGGAAGAAGGGGTCGATAGACTTTTTGGCCAATACCTCTTTACATCAAAGGAAGAAGTGATCAGCCGCATGCTCGGTGCTATTCATAGCTTTTGCACGTTGCGAAGCTTACTACGTAGTGCCCGCTTCTCGATCCCGGGATGGACATTCCTCGCAAAATACGAGATGACATCCCTTCGAACAACTATCTAACCTATCGCCTGATTGATGTCATCAATTTTGACTACCAAGCGGTCAGCGAAATCGCTCACAGCATGTTACAGCAAGCTGCCTGGAACATACCTGCGGTGACATTCCTCCAAACGGCGGAAGGGGTTTGTGGCCTCTCAAACCATGTTTGTTGGTTCCACACTCCTGAGAGCATCGCACACACTTGACAGCTTGGGTATTACGTGGGTATCTAAGGTGAACCTATCGAGGATTCTGGTAAATGACTTCGGAAAATGTCCCGGCCGAGTCAATGCCTGCTCTAATACTACTCGCTCAGGATCCTGCTCGCCACAGGGCGCATCTCGCAGCAGACGGACTGATGCGTCGCCCTGATATTTTGATCCGAAGGACCGGATGCGACTTGAGAAGCGAGTGAGAGATCACCGGTCCAAATCTATCCGCGGAGACCGTTCGCTGACAAGGTGGTCCAGATCGACGCCCTCCTGAGACAAGCGCCTTGGCAGGAATATGATAATCTGGGGCCTCGACAGGTACTGCCTTGACGTCGGCTCGCACCGGTAACTTCTCTTGATAATTAGGCACTGTAGAGCTATCGAGAGTTTCTGCAGATTGATCTAGACGACATCGAGAACATCACCACTATTTCTATGTGTAAGTCTACTTATGAAGGCCCAAGCTTGTTTGTTGTGGGAGAAGACATCATTCTTCACCAAGGACATGATCGATAAGAATGTATGCCTACCACAGCCCGCAGAAAACCGTTTTCTGTCCGATTCTGTCGCTTGCACATCTTTCTCAAGCTGAAGGGTATCACGAACAAAGGGCGTGTGTCTGTATAACCCTATGGGACCCCGCAATCCTGTCCATTCATCCCTTTGATCCTCGGGAGCGAAAACCTGCTAACCTTCTTGCGGCACTGTGGATGGAATTTGAGCTGTTCGAAAACAGCCTGAAGAGTAAGACATCGACTTCACCGTCGATCCTAGATCACCAGACAGCCGTCCATTATGGACTACACCTTGCGGCTTGGTCCTGCGGCGTGCACTATGTCGCCAATTCTGAACCGGATGCGCTCATCATCCCATTCATCGCAGCCCTGGGATGATCTGCACTCGGGTCTAGCATATATATCTCTTCCTCTCTTGGCAATCACACCAAGAAGGCCGAGGTCACCACCAATTCGAGGCTATCATGGAATGAACTACCAAACTGGGGCTGCGTCTGCTGAGACTGGGCAGGGCGAACCAAGCTCGCCTGCGGCCGAGAGAATCACAAACCTACATGTGCTAGTGCCCGTCTTCCCGTCTTGGTAGCTACCCTTATGACGGAGATCGGAGAGCTCGCCGACCCGTACAACCTCGAGGCAAACTTGGGAACATATATAGCAACCTTGATGTCCAGCTTCATCAGAGAATTTGCTACTGTGCAACTTTCATCACCCACTTGACAACTGCCCCTCTGTATCTCAAGCTACCTTACACCACACAGCAACCGCAGAGATTTCGATCATCTTCACCACCAAAGGTCACCACGCAACCAAATAGTCAACATGCTCTCCAACAACATCTTCACAATACTAGCCATCGTCGGCCTATCAGCCGCCCAGATCCAAGTCCCGCCCTCCAACGCCGCCGACTGCCCGCGAACCATGTGTCTCGACGGCATCAACCCAGAATGCGGAATCCGATGGGGCGGCTGCTACGACATGTGCCAGCCGCAGATGAAGCCCACCATGCCGCCTTGCAAATCCACGCTGAGCAAGTCGACAATCTCGAAGACATTCAAGCCCTCCTTCACTAGGCCAACCCGGCCCAGCCTGCCGCCCACGCGCAGCCCGACAATCACTCGGGCACCGCCCAGCTTGACTACTTTACCCACGACGGCGGTCGACAACTGCAGCACGCGTAGCGTGTGTGTTGATTACATTAACGAGTGCGGACAGTGGTATGGCGGGTAAGTTTTGCTTCTTCGCTTCTAATGCCTCACATATTAGTACAGCGTATCATGTTTGCTGACTTTGCCGTAAAAAATGTAGATGCCACGCCGACTGCAAGCCCTGGCCGTCGTACTCCAAGCCTTTGTGCACACCCACGTCCAGCTTGAGTGTTGACCCGTCCACGTTACCAACCGATAACTGAGGGCGCTCGCCGACGCCACAAAGTTCATGAATGGGATGAAAGAATTAGGAAGCGATTGAGACAAACGTTTGATGATCCTATATAATGAATAGATGATAATCCTTCATACATTACATCTTAGCAACCTGGTTTCAGCAAGGGTACTTCAGTTTCTTACGCGATGATACAGTCGCTGGAGCCACGACATCGACGACATCCCTAAACTTGTACTCAGTTTCTCTGTGCCTCACAATTAATCGATAACTCAATCAACTTCGATAGAGCGCCAAGGACACAGAGAATAGGCTGCCAGGTGTAGTCTTTGAACAAAATGAATTTCTCCTCCTACTTTACACGTTTTTAACTCCAGAGCCAAAGCCCAAAAGCCTGCGGTGTATGCACCAGCCCTAATAGCCTGATTCCAAAGGGTCCAGGTAGCGATATCCCCCACGCGGCTCACCCACGATCATTAACTAAATTGTTGTCGTGGTATTACGATTGCCTTTGATATTGCCTTCCGCCACTCTCTGGCCCTCCCATCGTCTGCGTCTTCCTTTCCCCTCACATAACCGAATTTCCTACCAACACCCGACACCGGTTCTAATCATAACAGGTTTAGTACACACGCTTGAAGGGAGGAACAGCCTTGCACTCGTTCTCGTCCAGAGTGTTGGCAATAACGCCACGGTAGCCGAGGTCGACCTTGCCGTGGGGGTTCTTTTGGAAAGAGAGGGTGTGCTTCATCCAGTTGACGTCGTCACGGTCCGGGAAGTCCTCGCGGGCGTGGGCACCACGAGACTCCTTGCGAGCGGCGGCGGAAGTGGCAGTTTGTGAACTATTCGTCGTTAGCCAACGACCCCATGAAAGGAGCAGTATTGAAGGGAACTTACGCGCAGGTCAACAGGTTGCGGAGCTCAAGGGTCTCAACCAAGTCAGAGTTCCAGATCATGCTCTTGTCCTTGATGGAAACGTCGGGGAACTGAGCGTCAATCTCCGTCATCTTGCGGACACCCTCGTCCAGAGACTCCTGTGTTCTGAAAACGCTGACCTCAGTCTGCATAGCCTTCTGCATAGACAGACGAACGTCGGAGGTGGTTCTGCTACCCTCGCGCGTGCGAACGTCATCCAGAGTCTCAATGGCCTCAGCACCAGCATCAGCAGCCAGAGGCTTGTGCTTGGTACCAGGAGTAAACTTGTCACGGATGGTGTGGGAAACGGCACGACCGAAGACGACCAAGTCGAGGAGAGAGTTGGCACCCAGACGGTTGGCACCGTGGACAGAGACACAGGCGGCCTCACCGCAGGCGAACAGACCAGGGACGACCTTGTCGTTACCAGACTCGTCAACAGTGATGACCTCACCGGTGTACTTGGTAGGAATACCACCCATGTTGTAGTGGACGGTGGGCAGAACAGGAATAGGCTGGGTGCGAACGTCGACACCAGCAAAAATGCCGGCGGTCTCGGAGATACCGGGCAGACGCTCGTGAAGAACCTCAGCGGGAAGATGGCTGAGCTGGAGGAAAATGTGATCCTTCTCCTCGCCAACACCACGTCCCTCGCGGATCTCCATGGTCATGGACCGGGAGACGACGTCACGGGAAGCAAGATCCTTAGCGGTGGGGGCGTAACGCTCCATGAAGCGCTCACCCTCGGAGTTCAGAAGGTAACCACCCTCACCGCGGGCTCCCTCAGTGATCAAGCAGCCAGCGC